ACACCAGAACTGTACACAGTAGTCCAGGTGGGGTATCACCTCCTTCAACCTGCTGGCCACACTCTTTTGAATGCAGCCCAGGATTTGAGTGGCTTTCTGGCCTGTGAGCACACACTGTAACTCATGTTGAGTCTTTCATCAACTGTCACCTCCAAGTCCTTCTCCACAGGGCTGTTCTCAATAACTTCTCTGTTCAGCCAGTCTGGGATTGCTGCAGCCCAGGTGTAGGGCCTTGCACTTTGCTTTGTTGAACTTCATGAGGTTGGCATCAGCCCACCTCTCAAGCCTGTCAAGGTCCCTCTGGATGGCATCCCTTCGCTTCAGTGTGTCAACTAAACCACACGGTTTGGTGTCATCAGTGAACTTGCTGAGGGTGCACTCAATCCCACTGTCCATGTTGCCAACATAGATGTTGAACAGCACCAGCCGGGACACAACACCACTCATCACTGGTTACCATGTGGACAATGAGCCATTGATCACAGCTCTTTGCTTGCAACCATCCAGCCAGTTCTTTGTCTACTGAGTGGTCCATCCATCAAATCCATGTCTCTCCAGTTTAAAGACCAGAGTGTCAGCAATTGTTGAATATATTTTTAACACAGAAAAGCCCATAGCACCCAGGGCAAAAAAAAAATAATTCTGTCAAATGTAAGTCTTGCATTAAAATCCAGAGATCTGGCATTAGGCACAGGACTAGGAGAAGCAATGGCTTTCAGGCTTCCTGTCGTTCCCAACCATCTTGGGATATGAACTATCCCAAGACAGGAACACACCACTGGGATGAAGAGGGAAATAAACCAAAATAATAATTAAAACCCAACCAGCTGTCAGCAATAATTGCTAATTACTGGCCAAAGTAGAGTAGCTTCCGGTTGGGAAGATGAAACTGAGTTCTACCTAAAAAAGGTCAAAACCAATCATCTGTGGTGGGATTGGCACTCTAGTCCAAATGTCAGAGCAGGCACCTAAGTCTGGGTAGGCTGCAAGCCAGACTTGGGCATCTGTTTTACAGCAGATTTTATGGGTTGAAACATGAAATGCCTCTTGTTTGCAATCACCCAGATTTCCAAATGCACAGAGGCAACACGGTTCTGGGCCCTTAGCAAAACCCCTGAGGTGAACGTCGAAGATAGCTGGAGACAGTCAACCTCTCACCAGGCGAGTTTGCACCCTCTGCAAATGGTGTTGTGGTCTCATAAACTGTTTCACTCCCCTGTCTCACACAATCTACTTGACAGACCCACTAGGTGGCAGGACAGTTTAAGCCTTTGCTATTTCTACCTACTCCGCTTCAGAGAAAGTGCTCTGGGGCTTAGCCCCACTGATCTGTGCTGTCTGGACCCTGGGGAACCCACAATCACCATGAGCTGAGGCTTATGCTTACTAAGCATACCAAATATAACTTGTGCCAAACCAGTGGAGAAATCCATGCAGAAATCTCTGTTCAATTCCTTTTCATGGGTTTATCACACAGAGAGCACTAGCAGACAGAAGAGAGGAATACCAGCTAATCCTAATTTGCTAAATGTTGAAGTATTCTTCTTGATATGAGTGATACACAAAGGCTATTTGGAATAGTGGTGTCAAAGTGTAGTTTAAGCCTCTTCTAGACACTGCTCTGTTGTAATTTTTAACTAATGTAAGTGCAGTTATAATTTTGTATGATCACCACTGTATGAAAGTGGCAAAACAGGGAAGTGGCCACTGTGGGCCAGATCACAGATCCATATAACTAAATAAGATGTCTTGGGTAGTGCAAACATATATGATGTTTCCAATGACTAACTTCCTTGCCTACAAGCATTCATCCCTCCAAGCTCAGCCTATGCAGTATCACAGCAGAATGATGGTATATAGTACAGGTAGAGACAGTTACATGAAGAATCATAGCAAATAAGCTTCATTTTTAAAGAATACTTCAAGTGAGAATGTTCTAATAATTGGTCTCATATCTCGAAACCTATTTGGTCCTTTGTTGCATTTCAGATAATTAATTGAACTTTCCTGTTTTATATCAACAAAACATGTGCCTCAGCATATATATTCATCCACCTCTACTGATGCTTCTGATGAAGGGTTGACCCAAAGAAAATTACCTTCTTAATGACATCTGGAAAATATTGAGGCCAATTTTATGTCTATTCAAAATACCTAATTTGTTTTATATATGCACAATAAAGTTACATGGGTATTTCCCATCGTTTGTGGGGGTTTTAATATGCACAGTGGGTAAGAATGAGTAATTGTTTCATTAAGTTCTAAAATTTGGAGAAAACAAAGTTACCTTTTTTGTTTGGTACTAAAATGAATTTATTTGCTTTAAAGAAGCCCAGGATAGTGCTGTAAGATGATGAAAAAGATGCTATTACCTGTGTCACACTTGCTGGAATGGCAATTGGGATTAATGCATTGTAATACCAGATTAACCTTAATAGAAGTTTGCTGCTGTAATTTATCAGGGTAATTAAGTATGTACCTAATTTTAGGTACCTAAGTAGTTCTATTGACTCCTGTGAGACTAGTCCACTTTTAAAGTTGAGCATATTTTAAAATATCCTGCTGATTCAGGGCCATAACTTTGTGGCCATGTGAATTAAAAGAATGTACTGTCATCAATTACCCATTAGTTGAGCCATTAGGGAGGGTGGCACAGTCTGATAATGGTTGAAACTGGATAAACTGGCTCAGTGACAAACATATTCAGAAGCACTTAATTTGCTCTTTACAGGCTCAGCTGAAGTTTAGTAGGACTATTACCTATCTTCAAGACACTAACCATAAAGTGAACCAGAGCTTTCCCAGCTTTAACTTAAGACAGTAACCCTGCCCAAATCCCAGACTACTGGACAGCATTGCACAGAGGCCCCCAGAGAGCTCTAATGGGACTAGCTCCCATCTGCCCAAGTCAAGCATACTGCACAGCTAACAAAGTCTGCTCCTGACCAAAGTTTATATGGTGCAATGTCTCCCACACAGAGCAGTTTGTGGTTCTGTTTTTACTGGTCAGAAATATGCATCTGGCTCAGAACTGGAAGGTCTGAGAAAATTGAGGCATAACTAAATATTCCTCTTCTTTATCTGAACTAGCTACAAAAGAGCTCTCTCATGCAGTCTAGACTATTAACTGTTAGACACACTGTACATGCAAGCAGCAAAGAAGCATTTGTGCATCTGTAACTTGGTTAATCTGCAACTAGGTAATACGTATCTAACATAGTATAACATATTATAGATCTTTTAAAAAATGTTCATCCTGCTTTTAATTGAGTTGCATTTTTAATCTTAGTCTTTACTGCTTCTGCATTTTTTTGAAATTTGCTGTTAAAATTCTTCTTTCTACGCAATGTATTCTCAATGACAGGTTCATACAGCCCAAGTACAGAGTAAGCACCAGAGTGCTCACAGTAGAGTTTCCAGGGTGAACAGCAGCACCTTGACTAGTCTTAAGCTATATATTTGTGAGCAGTTAACTCCATGTATGTCTATGGCTGTGGAATGTTTTATATAGAATTTAGCACATGAATAATTTCCAAAATTCAGCTGGTTCATAATTGGTGTTTGTATGTCTATGGCTGTGGAATGTTTTATGTAGAATTTAGCACATGAATAATTTCCGAAATTCAGCTGGTTCATAATTGGTGTTCTAGTAGTAAAAAACTTCAAACCATCTTAGGCTAACAAAGTACTGGGAGTATCTATTCCTGTAACCCAAATTTCAATGTCTGTGTCTGTATTCTGTATAAGAAAAATTGTATTCTGTAAGAGAAGAATCTAAATATATCCAGCGCTGCAACTGTGAAAGAAATGCAGAATTCAATATAGGTCATGACCCAGAAGAGCACTTTAGCATATGCTCAACCTGAAGCATAAAATGACTTCTGTTTCAGTAATACTCAACTACTTGATTTCCATGGGATCATTATAGGTTACAGTATCATTACAGTTTATCAGTTTTACATATTGTGATGCTATAAAGGAGGCTAGTATATAAGAATGGAACTGCAACCCAGAACAAGAGTGTATTTAAATTCTGATCCTCCTGTGTCAGCTACTTCAGTCTCTCAGACTTTCTGAAGCCACTTGTTTTGCCCCAGTGGAGTAAGTGATTTTACTTTGCTGGAACTGAAAAAAATTTGGGGATGTTGAACTAGTTAAATGAATACAGGTTTAAGTAGAGGAAACTGTCAATTCGACTGAATGAAACTGAATCCTTTACTGAATGGTC